CCTCTCCAGTGAAAAAGTCTGCTAGTTTAGCAGCAACATGGAACTGCTCACGTAACTGCTGCAGTGTTAACTGTTTTTCTTCAGGTTCTCTTCATCTTCTGTTATCTCCCTCCCTTGTATCTGTGCATCGAGCTCTGCCAACATTTCCACTGGACTCCTGTCTTCATCATTTTCATCTTCTGAGAGCTCATTCACATCTTCAGTCATATCTTCAAAACCATCACCTGGTTATCTCCTTGCCAGCTGAACAATTTTCTGAACCTGACTCTCAAGCAAGAAAAAAAGTGAAAGAATTAACTACAGAAGGCCATAACTTTCCCCAGCCTGCATTTAATGTTGACTGGGGCACTTCATTCCATGCACTTCTAGCATAGCTGATGGCATCTGCAATGTTAAATTTATTCCAGAAGCTTGGTACTGCCAGATTGGAGTCAAGAGTCCATTGATGCAACTAGTTTTTTCATAACTTTTTTTGTGTAGTTACACTTGAATGACTTAATAACTCCCCGATCCATTGGTTGCATTAGAGATGTTGTATTTGGAGGTAAAAATACAACTTTTACATGTGGGGGTGTGGGGTTACATCCAGCAAAACTCGTGGATGAGTATGGGAATTATCAAGAATGAAGAGAGCCTTGAATGCAAGGTTCTTGCTGTGCAGGTAAAACTTGATTTCAGGAATAAAGTGATGCTTAAACCAGTCAGTAAATACTTCCTGTTATCCATGCTGACTGGTTTGACCTCCAAATTACTGGTAAGGTGTTATTATTTACACTTTTCAGAGCATGAGGATTCTTAGAGCAGTAAATAACCATGGGCTTACACTTGAAATCACCTGCCACATTACTGCAAAGGAGCAAGGTGAAGCAATCCTTTGCTGTCTTGAAGCCCGATGCACTTTTCTCTTGCTGACTGATATAAGTTTGTGTTGGCATTTTTTCCAAAAAACACTTGTCTCATCAGCATTAAACACTTGATGATGGGGGTGGTGTGAGTGGCTTAGGGAGGCGGGGGATGGCGATAGGTCTCCCCCCGTTGATACAATGGTGTAACCCACTAACCCACAGACCATCCCACCTGGTGGGCGACTGCGTGCTCAAAATTTTTTCCCCCTCATGCAACCATGTTAAACTAATTTTACGAAGTGTTAAACAAAAATGCCGCAATTCTTCTAACGTGTTATAACAAAAACATGTAAGACAAAATCATGTTAAATGACTGTCTGCTGCATATAAAAAGTAGAAGTAATAATAAATAGTAATATTATTATTATTATTATTATTATAATCAAAGAAAGCAATAGAGAGTAATAATAGAGATTTTGTCGTGATTAAAAACGGTTAAGACTATGAGGTAGAGTGGTGATTGAGTGCAAAAGTAAAGTATACAAGTATCAATAGTAATATGAGGGTACAAGAATTTAAGGAACAAATTTTTATGACAGTGTATAACAGTTACAGAGTGGTTCATAACACTATTCGTGGATGGTGGGTATAAACTGCACCTTACTCTGAGTCAGTTAAACCAACTTCACTAAGGAATTTCTTTAGTTTGTATTCCATAGACATGAAGTACCTCTTCCCAGTGGGCTCTTTCCTAGCTGCGATTTTACCATCCCTCACAAAGCACTGATGGATTTTTTTATTGTGCCGTAATTCTTAGATGATAAAGGTTTTGCCTTGTTTTGGTAAGGCACTCATTATCATATATTCCTTGGATTTCATAGATATGGATGTTTTTAACAGGTTATTTCTTTCCAAGCTAGTGTTGAATTTTAATAGCACTGTTTTTCCCCCTGCTTGGTAGCCCATCAGTTTGCAGTCTTTTACTTCATCACTACATATGTTTAGGTGAAGGTGGCCCTTGATAAGCTGTAGGGTGGTCTCCATGCATGTCTCTTGGGTGACTGTAGGTGAGTGATGGTGGCTATTTACTACAACAGTGTCAGATAGCTGTTGTTGGTCTAGTCTTGGAAGTTGTTGATGACATCAGCGAGTTGGAGATCCACTCGTGATCTTTCTTGTATGAGATTGGAATTTAGGTTTGTGACTTGCTCCTGAAGGCTCAGTTTCAGTGTGGCTGTTGTTTTGTTGGTCTGTTGCATGAATTTTGCCATCCAGGGTTGTGATTCTGTCAAGGAATTGATTGTTGGAGGTCTTTAGTTGTTGTACTTCCTGGGTGAGTATGCCATTTGTTGTTCTTAATTCCTGCATTTCTCGAGTTAATGTGGTGATTTTGATGTATTTAGCCATCTCTGGGTCTTGCAGCTCTAGTTTGTTGAATCCATGAAAGGAGGTCTCCTCTTTGCTTGGGGTGGTGGCCACGTTTGTTGATGTTTGGCGAGTGTTGTGCAGGCAGTAGTGGGTGGTGTGGGTTGTGTCCTTGTTTGCTGGGAGGAGGAGACCCTGTACTGGCTCCCATCACCTGTGTTGTGATTTGATCAAATCAAAACAAACTAGGTATAGCAAATACTCGATTTGACAGATTTCAGAAATACGGGGCAAAATCCACAGTGGACAAAGCCATTGGTTACAGAATTGTGGATTATTGTTACTACCATGGCAAAACAGTCCTATCTCTGTCAGCCACAATTGCCAATACCAGCCATTCATTTCCTATTAGTTCATTAACTCGAGGGTTTTCTGTGCTGTATTTTCACCTGCCCTGTGTGGGAATACAATTTGAGATGTTTTTTGATGTTCCTTCTTTTTCTCTAACACTTGTTGCAAAACTTTCACAAAGGCTTCCAAGTGTGTATTTGTGTAAATGGTTGACTTACATTATACAGTAGGGCCCCGCTTTATGGTGTTTTGCTTTATGGTGTTCCGCTAATACGGTCATTTCAAATTATGACCAAAACTCGCTATACGGCTCCCCCCACCTGACTTTCTAATATGGTCACCGTGCCTCACCCTGTTTGTTTACATTCTCTGTGAGATCAGTAAGCACTAAGTCTCTCCATTTTGTCTGCAGACTCCAAAATTTCAAGTGTTTTTAAAAGTTATTTCGTATTTTATATATACTCTGATAATTATATTTGTGTATACCTGTACCTAAATAAACTTACATACTGTGCTGGCATGCAGGTACACATTAAAATCAGTAAGAGTGTCTTATGTCTCCAGACGTCATATTAGTAGTGATAATAATCACAAAATTTCATTTAAATGTTGTATATTACGTTAATATACACATTTTCATTAATCCATCTATGATATTTTTTCAAAATTATATAATAAACACGATGCATAACAAATAATTATGATAAATACACCCCACAGTAGAATAAATAAACTTAAATATGAGATGTGGTAGGCAGACGCCTTGCACAAGTGACGCCTTATTAGAAATGATAATAATAATAATCACCGAGTCTCGTTAAATGTCTTATATTATGTTAATATACACATTTTCATTAATCCATCCATGATATTTTTTCAAAATTATATAACAAACATGATACATAACATATAAAGATGATAAATACACCTCACAACAGAATAAATAAACATAAATATGAGATGTGGTAGCCAGATAACTTGTACAAGTGACGGCAAGAATAACATTTTCTCTAGCCCAACATAAGAGAAAATGTGTTACTGGGGATTACTGTAGAAAATTATTCCTTTCATATGTATGTAAGTTTATTCAGGTATACACAAATACAGTTACATAGATTATCATACATAACAGCATATGTGTAGAGAACCTAGGATAACCCAAAAAAGTCAGAGTGACTTATTTCCATTGCCTTCACTCAGAGCGTCATTTCTTCTAAAAATGATATTAAATGAGAACGGGAGTGTTGTTCTTTATTTATTCTACCGTATCAATGTAGAGACAACTTGTACACAATGTAACTTGTGCACAAACCAGACGTGTACACTTTGTTTACAAAACTTGCGTTTCCTTGGTTTGTTTACATAACTCTGCGCCTGTCCTCCTTCATGTACTCTCTCTCTCTCTCTCTCTCTCTCTCTCTCTCTCATTTATTCGTTTTATCTCATTTACTTACTCCTGACCCTACATTAAGACTACAAATATTTTAAGGTAAGTAATGAGTGAACTGTATATACATTTTATCGCTCTGGGATGCTTAAACATCATAGAATAATATGTGTGGGTGGAATGGCCTGGTATGGTAGCCTGGCTGACTACCATACATACCACACTTGATTTCTTACAATAAATACTGCTCATCTCACCCTAGATTAAGACTACAAATATTTTAAGGTAAGTAATGAGTAAACTGTATATGCATTTTATCGCTCTGGGATGCTTAAATGTAATAGAATATTATGTGGCCTGGTATGGTAGCCCGACTGACTACCATACATACCACACTTGATTTCTTACAATAAATACTACTTGTCTCACCCTAGATTAAGACTACAAATATTTTAAGGTAAGTAATGAGTAAACTGTATATGCATTTTATCGATCTGGGATGCTTAAATGTAATAGAATATTATGTGGTCTGGTATGGTAGCCCGGCTGACTACCATACATACCACACTTGATTTCTTACAATAAATACTACTTGTCTCACCCTAGATTAAGACTATAAATATTTTAAGGTAAGTAATGAGTGTACTATGTGTGTATTGTACTTTTTTATTGTTTTTTGATGCCTAGTTCTATTGCTAACTTAATATATGTTAGTGTAAACTTGTTATCTAGTATTTGTATGCATTTATAAGTGGAAAAAAAGGGTGTTCCACTTTACGGTGATTTCCGCTTTACGGCGGTAGGCTGGAACCTAACCTGCCGTATAAGTGGGGCCCTAATGTACATAATGTGTTTTGTTGTAGTTGATAACTCCCCCTCCTATATTTTATTGCAGTTGACAACAATTCCTACTATGGCTTGTTGCAGATGACATCTACTCCATGAATTTTAATTTGAAACATATGGAATTTAATAGAAAGAAATGTCTCATCCTTACCGGATAATTTTTATAATACATATTTTACTTATCTGGTTCTTGTTTATCCTAATAGGAGAATACCTCTCAAGTAGTCGAGACCACAAAGCTGTCGGGAGAAGGCCTTTTGATAAAATGGCAACGTTATTGGCGTACTTGGGACCACCAGAGCACAAACCCATTGATTCTCAGTAAGCTACACTTACTCTTATTATTGTGTAATTTTTTTTAATTATTACTTGTCATTCTCAGCACTTTTAATTTTGGGACTTCTGACAGTGAAGGTGTTAACTGGTTTATGTGAAAGCAAAGCAGCTGGTCTACCATAATTTTTGGTTAATGTGTGTATAATTGAGAGCACACACTGTTTTTCATAGAAGATGGACTAGAGTTATATTCTTTCTGAATCCAGCTACATTTATATTTTGACATTACTGAATATTGCAGGTGGAGCAGCATGGATATGACAAGCACAAAGTTTGAGGAAATCATGTCGAAGCATAATATGCACGAAAAGGACGAGTTCAAATCTATAAAAACGCTAAATATTTTTTACCAAGCAGGAACATCCAAAGCTGGCAACCCTGTGTTTTATTATATTGCCAGAAGATACAAGTGAGTAATAAGTATTTCATGATTTTTTCTTTTGTAGATAAAGTGCCTTTGCACTCACTAGTAATAATTACCAGCGTAAAGTTTAATAAGACTCATGTAATACTTGGGCATCTTTATTACCACAATATTTCTCCTCTGCAGCAGGTTTCTTTATTTAAATACAGAGATGACTTATACTGGAAACAGTGGAAGAAGCAAAGTGGTAATTTAAGTAACTTAGTCTTGAAGAGCTGATAGAAGATGCCCAGTCCCATGGGACTGAATACCTTCAATCAAGGTTAAAAGGACTGAACACCTTCAGTCAAGGCTAAGGGATTGACCACCTTAAAATTAACTCTGCACTTCTTCCACTGTCTCCAGTATGAAAATTGCCTTTATATTCAACTGAAGAAGCCACGTGCATGGGATAGATACCCAAGTGTTGCAAACATATCTTATTCATCAGCTTGTCGGTATTGTATACCATTTATTTAATGATGCCAGTAAAAAGATGATTGAAATAGTACTTAGTCACAGAGCTTGCTATATACAAATCAAAATATTGTACTTCTCACAGAATTGGTGAGACTAATGGGGACCTGCTAATATACCATGTGATCCTTACCCTAAAACCCATCTGTCGTAAACCCTTTGAGCTGGTGGTGGACTTCACCCACACATGTGCAGACAATAGATTCAGGTGAGTTTTTTATTGGTTTAGTTTGTGTATCTTGTCCCTTATTGAAGTCTGAAAGAACTGTAATCATAGTTGTGTTGAGACTAGGGCTGGGACAATAATGAAATTTTTGTGGATACTGATACTCAGTTTTATGCCTATACTGATAACATCAATATTAGCCTATACCCACCAATACTGATTCTGTCAAAATTAGCCAATACTGATATCATCAGAATTAGCCAATCCTGATACTGATATCAAAATTAGCCAATACTTACCGATAACAATACTCAGTTTTAGGCTGGTACCGATACCATCGGAGTTAGCCGATACTCAACTATACCAACACCGATACTTTGTTACATTCCTAGTTGAGATTCAAGTGATCATTTCTCTTACAGTGGAAACTCCACTCACGAGTTTAATCCTTTCCGTGACCCTGCTCGCATCTGGATTTGCTCGTTTGCAGAGTCAATTTTCCTCATTTAAATTAATTGAAATGCAATTAATCTGTTCCAGTGGAATTCTGTACTTCAATAATTTCCCTAATATTAACTGTAAGGCTTATTTATCAATCATAATTCATCTAATATGACATAATAAGCAATATAGATAACATAGAAACCTGATATATACTCTAGAATGAATAAAAGGTCATTCATGTAGTGGTATCGTCAGCTGACGAGAGTTTATCTGGAGACCGGACAAAATACTCCTTGAATAATTTCGCTAATATCATCTATACTGCTTATTTATCTATCAAAATTCATCTAATATGACATAGTAAGCAATATAGATAACATAGAAACCTGATATATACTCTAGAATGAATAAAAGGTCATTCATGTAGTGGTATCGTCAGCTGACGAGAGTTTATCTGGAGACCGGACAAAATACTCCTTGAATAATTTCGCTAATATCATCTATACTGCTTATGTATCTATCAAAATTCATCTAATATGATATAATAAACAATATAAATAACATAGAAACCTGATATATACTCTAATTGCCAGACATAATGAGGGCAAATTCCTAGGCCTATACCTCGACAACAACCTGAATTTCAGCACCCATATCCAACACATAACAAAAAAAGTATCCAAAACAGTTGGGATCCTCTCCAAGATATGATACTACGTGCCGCAAAATGCCCTTCTCACACTATACCATTCACTCATTTATCCATACCTCACCTATGCTGTTTGTGCTTGGGGATCAACTGCAGCAACACACCTAAAGCCAATAATAACTCGACAAAAAGCCGCAGTAAGAATAATCACTAAATCCCAACCCTGCAACACACCTCCCCACTCTTCATAGATCTAAACTTACTCCCTGTTCAGAACATCCACACTTACTACTGTGCAATCTACATATACAGGACCTTAAATTCCAATATTAACCTTGAACTCAAATGCTTTCTTGATAGTTGTGACAGGACCCACAGGCATAACACCAGACATAAACATCTCTACTACATTCCCCGTGTCCGACTAAACCTTTACAAAAATTCAATGTATGTCAAAGGCCCTAAAATCTGGAACACCCTACCTGAAAACTCTAGAACTGCAGACACATTCATCACCTTCAAAACCTCTTATCTCCCTGATACACCCCGTCAACTAACTACATGTAAACCACCTGGTGGTTCACACTTACACTCACCCACTCACCCATTTGACTATAAGCACAGAAATACGTATCTTAATCTTAAAATAATGATTCCTAACTAGTCATAAGTTTGCCTGTGATACTCCAATATAGAAACTATGTATTGTGCCAAAACAAAAGCATTCACATTGCTAAACTCACAAACTAGTATTTAGTCACTTAGTATTTAGTCAACTTACTCCACAATTTGTAATAATTTAGGGTTAAGAGTTAATCTAAGTTTGCCCGAAATGCCTAGCCATGCTAGGTGTTCTAGTGGCCCCCTCTGTAATTAGTATTTTATTACATGTAAACCACACAATAACCAAAATCTGTAAACCCCGCATTGTAATCCTTATAGAGAATAAACTTGCTGGAATGAATAAAATATGCCATTATGTAACAAGTGGAGGCGGCCACAACCGCTCCTGCTTTGTTGTGGCAAACACTGCCATCTAGTGACGACCTTTTGAAGCCATCTATTATTATAATTATTAATATATAGTACATTATTATTATACATATATTGATATATTATATTATATTATATTATTATTATTATATGTATTATTATTATTGTTATTATTATTACAATATAAATAATTTGTAATTTTTATTCACACAAAAAATAGAAGATTTACTGTTATGCTGTCTACTGCATTATTGTAATAATTGTATAAATAATGTCAACTCATTCACAACTGCATATTGGAATGGACAGTGATGTCATTTGTTTACTCTTAACAATGCCAAAGAATCAAACATTTCTTCTACTCTGAGCTCAGTTTCAAGGTACTTTTTGTTGTGAAAACAGTCAAAATCATATCTATTTCTGTAATATATCTTCCATTCTATCAAATGAGACCAAAAAAACAAGAATACAATCATAAAAACCATACGAAATTACCGCTAACAGGAAGCTAATTGTTGAGAAGTGAACTCCATTATTTATGGTCTGATTTCTTTCATTTTTGGTGTACGTTAAGAAACATCTTTCCATCATACATTGCCCAAGTTTCAATAAGATAGTCCAACTAACAAATGAGATCCAGTTCCCTAGATCAAGAGCAAGAGCCACTCACCAGCATCAAAGAACCTCCCTTGAGGCCTGCTTGCTTGTAGAAATTTCGCTCTCGTATGGAAGCAAAAAATTGACTGATCGACTGCTCATATTTGGAAAAACTCGCACGTGGATGCGCTCACAAGTAGAGGTCCCACTGTATAAGTTTTTTTTTTTTTTAACACGTTGGCTGTCTCCCACCAAGGCAGGGTGACCAAAAAGAAAGAAACACCTCAAAAAGAAAATATTTTCATCATCATTCATCACTTTCACCTCATACATAATCACTGTCTTAGCAGAGGCGCTCAGATACGACAGTTCAGAAGTCCCTCCAAACTGCCAATATCTCAAACCCCTTCCCATTTCCAGGACTTAAGTCTGGTTAACTGGTTTACCTGAATCCCTTCACAAAATATTGCCCTTCTCACAGTCCAACAGCTTGTCCCGTCCCAAAAACCATTCATCTCCATTCACCCCTATCTAACACGCTCACGCATGCTTGCTAGAAATCCAAGCCACTTCCCCACAAAACATCCTTTACCGCCTCCCTCCAATGTTTTCGAGGACAACCCCTACCCCAAAACACCTCAACAACCCCTCTTCAGCCCTCTTGACTAATACTTCTAGTAACTCTACACCTCCTAATTTCCACACTCCAAATTCTCTGCTTAATATCTACATCACACATTGCCCTTAGACAGGACATCTCCACTGCCTCCAGCCACCTCCTTGCTGCAGCATTTGCAACATAAGTTTCACACCCATATAAGAGTGTTGGTACCACTATACTTTCGTATACATGTATTCCCTTCTTTGCCTCTGTGGATAACGTTTTTTGTCTCCACAGATACCTCAATGCACCACTCACCTTTTTTCCTTCATCAGTTCTATGGTTAACCTCATCCTTCATAAACCCATCAGCTGACAAGTCAACTCCCAAATATCTGAAAACATTTACTTCTTCCATACTCCCTCTCTCCAATGTGATATCCAATTTTTCTTTATCTAAATCATTTGATACCCTCATCACATTACTCTTATCTGTGTTCACTGTCAACTTTCTACCTTTACACACACTCCCAAACTTGTCCACTAACCTTTGCAACTTTTCTTTAGAATCTCCCATAGCATAGTATCATCAGAAAAAGTAACTGTGTCAACTCCCATTTTGTAAAGTTATTCCCTTATAATTTTTAGTCTCTTTTGTCCCCTTTCCCTTTATATAAAAGAACTATACATGCTCTCTGCCAATCCCTACGTACCTTCCCCTCTTTTATACATTTATTAAACATACATAAATACCAACCACCTAGGTAGTAGGTTGGTAGACAGCAACCGCCCAGGGAGGTACTACCGTCCCACCAGGTGAGTGTAAAACGAGAGCCTGTAATTGTTTTACATGATGGTAGGATTGCTGGTGTCCATTTTTCTGTCTCATAAACATGCAAGGTTTCAGGTGCATCTTGCTACTTCTACTTACACTTAGGTCACACTACACATACATGTACAAGCATATGTATACACACCCCGCTGGATTTTCTTCTCTTTTCTTACTAATTCTTGTTCTTGTTTATTTCCTCTTACCTCCATGGGGAAGTGGAACAGAATTCTTCCTCCGTAAGCCATGCGTGTTGTAAGAGGCGACTAAAATGCCAGGACCAAGGGTCTACTAACCCCTTCTCCTGTATATATTACTAAATGTAAAGGGAGAAACTTTCATTTTTTCTTTTGGGCCGCCCCGCCTCGGTGGGATGCAGCCGGTGTGTTGAAAGAAAGAAGAAATACCAACCATTCTAACGCTATATATCCCCTTGCTTTTAACCCTTTCAGGGTTGGCAGTCTCCCTCCCAAACCTGTTCTCAGGTCGGAAAAATTTCGAAAAAAAAAAATTATTTTTTCATATGAAAAGTTTTTTTTCTAAACATTATAGGCTAAACAAAAAATTTTTACCATCAATACTTACCGAGAGATGGAGGTGTGAAGTTGACAAAGTTATTCTATTGTGTTCCATCCTCTTTTCATGTCCAAACCACTTTAACAACCCTTCCTCAGCCCTCTCAATAATATTTTTTGTAATCCCACACCTCCTCCTAATTTCAAAACTACGAATTCTCTGCATTATATTCACACCGCACATTGCCCTGAGACATGACATCTCCACTGCCTCCAGCCTTTTTCTTGTTGCAGTATTCACCACCCATGCTTCACTCCCACACAAGAGTGTTGGTGAAACTGTACTCTCAAAAATTCCCCTCTTTGCTTCCATGAACAAAGTTCTTTGTCTCTTCAGGCTCCTAAGTGCACCGCTCACCTTTTTCCCTTCATCAATTCTATGATTCACCTCATCCTACATAGACCCATCTGCTGACACGCCCACTCCTAAATATGTATCTGAATGCATTCACCTCCTCCATACTCTCTCTCCCTCCAATAAGATAAGCTGTGAGCAGTATATTTAGGCCTAGATATGATAGAATGCGTCTATCTCTGCACCAAATTCACCTTAAACCATCAAATAATAGAGCCTACAAGATTGAAGAATACGCTGGACCTCATCTTTACTAACAATGATGATATGATACAAAATGTCATCATATCAAATACAACATATTCAGATCACAATATAATAGGGGTCCAGACATGTATGTGGGGAGCCCCAGATCGACAAAATATGATCAGTCACGAGGAAACCTTCTCCAAATTCAATTTCAATAACAAAAACATGAGGTGGGACCAAGTCCTAAATGATATAAACTGGGAAAATAGACTAAGCAACACAGATCCTACCCTATGTCTAGAACACATTAACTCTGTGGCACTTGAGGTATGCTCAAGGCATATTCCCTTAAGGACAAGAAGGAGAAGATGTAAACTAGAAAGAGAAAAGCGCTCCCTATATAGACGAAGGCAAAGAATAGCAGTGTGGCTACAAGACGCTAATATATCTGCAATACGTAGGGAGACACTAGTCAGAGATATAGCACACATCGAACTAAAGCTAAAGGAATCCTACAGGAGTCCTGAAACACGAGAGGAACTAAAAGTCATATATGAAATTGAAAGAAACCCAAATTATTTCTTTTCTTATGCCACATCAAGTCTAGAATAACATCCATTATTGGGCCCCTACTTAAACGGGATGGGTCCTACACAGATGACAGCAAGGAAATGAGTTAGCTACTCAAGTCCCAGTATGACTTGGTTTTTAGCGAGCCACTAACCAGACTGAGAGTCGAAGACTAAATTAATTTTTTATGAGAGAGACAGAATTTGGTAGACACATCTATCTGATATTATCCTGACTCCAAATGACTTCAAAAAGGCGATAAATGACATGCCCATGCACTCTGCCCCAGGCCCAGTCTCATGGAACTCAGTGTTCATCAAGAACTGCAAGAAGCCCCTATCACGTGCTTTTAACATCCTGTGGAGACAGAGCACGGACACTGGGGTCATCCCACAGTTACTACAAACAACAGACATAACCCCACTCCACAAAGGGGGCAGTAAAGCAATAGCAAAGAACTACAGACCTATAGCTCTAAAGTCCCATATTATAAAAATCTTTGAAAGGGTTCTAAGAAGCAAGATCACCACCCATCTAGATACCCATCAGTTACACAACCCAGGGCAGCATGGGTTTAGAACAGGTCGCTCCTGTCTGTCCCAAGTACTGGACCACTACGATAAGGTCCTGGATTTTCTGGAAAACAAACAGAATGCAGATGTAATATACACAGACTTTGGGCTTCAGAAATGGGCTTCAGAAAACAATATGAAGTTCAGTGATGATAAATTCCAATTATGTACTCTGATATAGAAAACATGAGGAAATTAAAATTTCATTAGAGTTTAAAACAAATTCCAACCACACAATAGAGCGAAGAACTAATGTCAAAGACCTGGGGGTGATCATGTCAGAGGATCTCGCCTTCAAGGACCATAACATTATATCAATTGCATGACAGGATGGATAATGAGAACCTTCTAAACCAGGGATGCCAAGCCCATGATGACACTCCTCAGGTCACTTGTTCTGTCTAGGCTGGAGTATTGCTGCACACTAACAGCACCTTTCAAGGCAGGTGAAATTGCTGACTTAGAATATGTACAGAATCTTCACGGCACTCATATACCTTTGATATACCTTTTAAGTGTTTCGAGAGTTTATCTACTCTCTGAGCCCTGCCATGGGCCAGGCTTATCTCATAGCTGCGATAAACCACCTCAATTACTGGGAGCGCTTGAAGTTCCTAAATCTATACTCCCTAGAATGCAAGAGGGAGAGATACATGATTATATACACCTGGAAAATCCTAGAGGGACTAGTACCTAACTTGCACACAAAAATCACTCCCTACAAAAACAAAAGACTCAGCAGACGGTGCAACGTCCTCCATTGAAAAGCAGAGGTGCCACTAGTACGATAAGAGACAACACAATAAGTGTCAGGGGCCCAAGACTGTTCAACTGCCTCCCAGCATACATCAGGGGGATTACCAATAGACCCCTGGCTGTCTTCAAGCAGGAACTGGACAGACACCTAAAGTCGCTACCTGACCAGCCGGGTTGTAGTTTGTATGTTGGATTATGTGCGGCCAGCAGTAACAGCGTGGTTGATCCGACTGTGATCCACCGTGAGACCTGGTCACAGACCGGGCTGTGGGGGCGTTGAACCCCGGAACTCTCTCCAGGTATACTCCAGGTATGTGGTAAGTGTGCACCACATAAAACAAATCCTGCAGCACGCAGTGCATAATGAGAAAAAACCCGCGACCATGTTTTTGGATTAAAACAGCGACTTTATGGTGTATTTCGTGTGTTTTTTACAATGGTATTCGCAGTTTCTTGGTCTCATTTGATAGAATGGAAGATATATTGCAGAAATAGAGATGATTTTGATTGGTTTTAGTACTGAAAATGGCTTGAAACTGGGCTCAAAGTATCAGAAATGTTCGATTTTTGCCCATGTTCAAGAGTAAACAAATGACATCACGTGTCCAATGCATGTCAGATGGTGGGTCTGATATGCATTCATGAATGCGCTGATATTATGTATATAAATATTATAGTGTTGCATGACAGTAAATCTTCTGTTTTTTGGTGTGAATGAAAATTCATTATGTGAACAAAAAAATCTAAGTGGAATTCACTTGTAAATCCTGAAAACAACTAATAAGCAGAGGAAATGTTATTTTAGTGCCAGGAATGCCTACATTGTTTTTCTGAACCCTATTTTGAAATTGGAATATTTTGAACTTTGTGTGAAATTGGCCAAATTACCAATTTCTGATCACTTTATTGGGTAGTTGAAATGGTTAATTGGGCAATTTCTTGTGTTCAATCGATAAAATAGAATTAATACTAGCGAAATAACTAAGAATTTTGTCAACTGAAATAATGTAATTGGCCTATAATGGGAGTCAAAGTGGGCAAAATCGCCTATGCATTAAGGATGATGCAGCAAAATTCGAGAGAGCATAATTTCATCAATTTTTCATCAAATTTTGTACTGTTTGTTTTACTGCCTTCAGAAAAATGTTCTCTACCATTTCATAAGAAAAATTAAACAAAAAAATTGTTTTTAAATCCTTGGACCCGGTGAACAAGTTTCAGATCAGGGGTCTGGACCCTGAAAGGGTTAAGGATGCTAGGAGTTCCCAATAATTTAGGTGTTTAACAGAATTTGTGTTGACAGTAAAAGTTCTCTGAATATTCTCTAGATCTACCATACTAACTGTATTTTGAAGGGTCTTGTTATTTGTCTTATCAATTTAGTTGCAGTTGTGATAGTAACACTTTGGTGTTTTTAATGTAAAATCTTCCAGTATTGTATCTCTTAGGTCCTTTACATTCCTCTTCGTCTCTGTCAAGCAGGTGGTTTGATTGGGATTCATACTTGTTCTGGTTGGAACAAGTAAGAGTCCCACTCATGTCAATTTTATGAGTAGATGTGCTATTGGAGTGTGAGCAAGGTAATGTTTATGAAGGGATTCAGGGAAACCTGTTAACCAGATTTTAGTCCTGGAGGTGGGAAGTACAGTGCCTGCACTCTGAATGAGGGGTGGGGATATTGTAGTTTGGAGGGGCATCTGAGCTGTAATGTCAGCATTCCTCTGGCAAGACAGTGGTGAAGTGATTGGTGGTAAAAGTGTTTCCTCATTTTTGGGTCACCCTTCCTCAGTAGGAGATGTCCGGTGTGTTAAAAAAAAGAAAAAACTTGTATGGGTCTTAATTTCTTGATTGTTTCTGTAGTAGAATAGTTGAAATTTGTTCTTGTATACTGGCATGGATGTTTACCACTGTAGTATCATTTGTGAAAGATGATACAGCATTACAATTTGTTTCTCTCTCTCAGGTTTGAGAGTTATAAAACAATTTGAGTAAATACTGGTCCTTGAAGAACAGCTCTAAACTGTGGAAGTTTCTTATTTTACTTTGTTGGCTGTTATTATTTGAGCCCTGTTTGTTAGAAAGTTGGAGATTCATCTGTTCTCTCTGAAGTTTGACAGGATGTGATTCGGTGGCTGTGTTTCAACAGTAATTTCACTTTCAGACAGTTCAGTTGATTGATGATGGGCAATTAAAACAATAAAAATTAAAAATGATAATGTCACAGCAAGTGAATTTTAATAATATTTTGTTAGTTATATTGAGTAAAATAGTACAATAATCTACATCCTTTAACAGGACAGAATTTCTACAAAAATGGTTCGTTGTATTACCTGAAGTTGCATATGAGAACATCCATGCTGCCTATATCTACAATGGCAACTCCTGGGTGAGAGAGTATACAAAATACCATGACAGAATATTAGCACCACTGAAGGTAAGATCAGCACCACTTAATTTCCTAATATAGTATCTCATTTGAAGAGAATACAAGAAATTTGTCTTTTAATTTATTTCTTTTGGATCTTGGCTTCACATTATATTATTCTCAGTAAGCTACAGGAGGTAAAAGGTGGCATGCTTGGGACACATGTTATGTTGGGTTATTAAAAAATCTACAAGTATGCCAGTTTCTCAAAAAAAAAAAAAATGGTCATGCTGTTTCTTGAGATTGGAGCACTGAAAAAATGAGAGATGTATATTATTATTTTGGATGTTGTATAGTAAAAAAATCCATGAATATGCCAACTTGTATAAAAATTACAAAAATAAAAATGTGGGGTTTACGGAGTTCAGTGCATAATATACCACAGATTTACTCTTATGTATATTTACCTACTTTTCATAAATTTGTTAATGATTTTTTCCTGATCCCCTTCCTTTGATGCTTTTAATAGTTTATTACAAACTTTATTCTTCATATTGCGTGATTTTGCTTTTTCCCAATTCCAGTACCAGGCACTTACCACTAAAATTTCATCAACCATTTATTTCTGCACTTGTTCGATTTGTCTTGTTCTTCTTGTAGGTATTTAGTTACTTTTTATTGAATATTTTAAATAGGTCTTTTGTATTATCTACAGAAATGTTCATTTTCTTTTTGTTGTCTGGAAAATCAATTATATAAATTAGAAACAATGAGGTAAACACTTACTCTTGTGGTGCCTTATTAGTGACAGTATCCTGTGAGGTCATTTTGATTCTTATTTTTATTCGTATTTTTCTTCCATATGAAAAAAATTTAAATTATTTCTATACAGTGGACCCCCGGTTTTTGGCTGGTGCAGAAATCAGCCAGTTCGGAAATCTAGCACTTTTTTTGGCTAAATATTCCCCCAGATTTCGTGCATCTGCTCAGAAATCGTTGGTGTCAGACACGTTCACCTGGACCGCTCATATGTTTGTGACTCATTCCTTTTTTTTTTTTTATTAGCACACTGGCCGATTCCCATCAAGGCAGGGTGGCCCAAAAAAGAAAAACTTTTACCATCATTCACTCCATCACTGTCTTGCCAGAAGAGTGCTTTACACTACAGTTTTTAAACTGCAACATTAACACCCCTCCTTCAGAATGCAGGCACTGTACCTCCCATCTCCAGGACTCAAGTCCGGCCTGCCGGTTTCCCCGAATCCCTTCATAAATGTTACTTTGCTCACACTCCAACAGCACGTCAAGTATTAAAAACCATTTGTCTCCATTCATTCCTATCAAACACGCTCACGCATGGCCGCTGGAAGTCCAAGCCCCTCGCACACAAAACCTCCTTTACCCCCTCCCTCCAACCTTTCCTAGGCTGATCCCTACCCTGCCTTCCTTCCACTACAGACTGATACACTCTTGAAGTCATTCTTTTTCGCTCCATTCTCTCTACATGTCCGAACCACCTCAACAACCCTTCCTCAGCCCTCTGGACAACAGTTTTGGCAATCCCGCACCTCCTCCTAACTTCCAAACTACGAATTCTCTGCATTATATTCACACCACACATTGCCCTCAGACATGACATCTCCACTGCCTCCAGCCTTTTCCTCACTGCAACATTCATCACCCATGCTTCACACCCATATAAAAGCGTTGGTAAAACTATACTCTCATACATTCCCCTCTTTGCCTCCAAGGACAAAGTTCTTTGTCTCCACAGACTCCTAAGTGCATCGCTCACCCTTTTCCCCTCATCAGTTCTATAATTCACCTCATCTTTCATTGACCCATCCGCTGACACGTTCACTCCCAGATATCTGAATACATTCACCTCCTCCATACTCTCTCCCTCCAATCTGATATTCAATCTTTCATCACCTAATCTTTTTGTTATCCTCATAACCTTACTCTTTCCTGTATTCACCTTTAATTTTCTTCTTTTGCACACCCTACCAAATTCATCCACCAATCTCTGCAACTTCTCTTCAGAATCTCCCAAGAGCACAGTGTCATCAGCAAAGAGCAGCTGTGACAACTCCCACTTTGTGTGTGATTCTTTATCTTTTAACTCCACGCCTCTTGTCAAGACCCTCGCATTTACTTCTCTTACAACCCCATCTATAAATATATTAAACAACCACGGTGACATCACACATCCTTGTCTAAGGCCTACTTTTACTGGGAAATAATTTCCCTCTTTCCTACATACTCTAACTTGAGCCTCACTATCCTCGTAAAAAACTCTTCACTGCTTTCAGTAACCTACAGTATTTAGATAAAGGTAGGGAAGTTTTTATTGCATTTATGGATTTAGAAAAGGCATATGATAGAGTGGATAGAGGAGCAATGTGGCAGATGTTGCAAGTATATGGAATAGGTGGTAAGTTACTAAATGCTGTAAAGAGCTTTTATGAGGATAGTGAGGCTCAGTTTAGGGTGTGTAGAAGAGAGGGAGAATACTTCCCGGTAAAAGTAGGTCTTAGACAGGGATGTGTAATGTCACCATGGTTGTTTAATATATTTATAGATGGGGTTGTAAAAGAAGTAAATGCTAGGGTGTTCGGGAGAGGGGTGGGATTAAATTATGGGGAATCAAATTCAAAATGGGAATTGACACAGTTACTTTTTGCTGATGATACTGTGCTTATGGGAGATTCTAAAGAAAAATTGCAAAGGTTAGTGGATGAGTTTGAGAATTGTGTGTAAAGGTAGAAAGTTGAAAGTGAACATAGAAAAGAGTAAGGTGATGAGGGTATCAAATGATTTAGATAAAGAAAAATTGGATATCAAATTGGGGAGGAGGAGTATCGAAGAAGTGAATGTTTTCAGATATTTGGGAGTTGACGTGTCGGCGGATGGATTTATGAAGGATGAGGTTAATCATAGAATTGATGAGGGAAAAAAAGGTGAGTGGTGCGTTGAGGTATATGTGGAGTCAAAAAACGTTATCTATGGAGGCAAAGAAGGGAATGTATGAAAGTATAGTAGTACCAACACTCATATGGATGTGAAGCTTGGGTGGTAAATGCAGCAGCGAGGAGACGGTTGGAGGCAGTGGAGATGTCCTGTCTAAGGGCAATGTGTGGTGTAAATATTATGCAGAAAATTCGGAGTGTGGAAATTAGGAGAAGGTGTGGAGTTAATAAAAGCATTAGTCAGAGGGCAGAAGAGGGGTTGTTGAGGTGGTTTGGTCATTTAGAGAGAATGGATCAAAGTAGAATGACATGGAAAGCATATAAATCTATAGGGGAAGGAAAAGAGGGGTAGGGGTCGTCCTCGAAAGGGTTGGAAAGAGGGGGTAAAGGAGGTTTTGTGGGTGAGGGGCTTGGACTTCCAGCAAGCGTGGCATGAGGTGTTAGATAGGAGTGAATGGAGACGAATGATACTTGGGACCTGACGATCTGTTGGAGTGTGAGCAGGGTAATATTTAGTGAAGGGATTCAGGGAAACCGGTTATTTTCATATAGTCGGACTTGAGTCCTGGAAATGGGAAGTACAATGCCTGCACTTTAAAGGAGGGGTTTGGGATATTGGCAGTTTGGAGGGATATGTTGTGTATCTCTATATATGTATATGCTTCTAAACTGTTGTATTCTGAGCACCTCTGCAAAAGCAGTGATAATGTATGAGTGTGGTGAAAGTGTTGAATGATGATGAAAGTATTTTCTTTTTGGGGATTTTCTTTCTTTTTTTTGGGTCACCCTGCCTCGGTGGGAGATGACCGACTTGTTGAAAAAAAAAAATATACAGTGGACCCCCGGTTAACGAACTTTTTTCATTCCAGTAGTATGTTCAGGTGCCAGTACTGACCGAATTTTTTCCCATAAGGAATATTGTGAAGTAGATTAGTCCATTTCAGACCCCCAAACATACACGTACAAACGCACTTACATAAATACACTTACATAATTGGTCGCATTTGGAGGTGATCGTTAAGCGGGGGTCCACTGGTGAAAGTGTTGAATGATGATGAAAGTATTTTCTTTTTGGGGATTTTCTTTCTTTTTTGGGTCACCCTGCCTCGTGGGAGGCGGCGACTTGTTGAAAAAAAAATAAAAAAAAAAAAATATAATAATATATTGATTATGAGGTATGTTTTATATATTACTTAATATTTATTATATATATAATTATTTATTATTATATGATTATATTTATATTATATATTATATTATATATATATTTTAATATATAAATATATAATATAATATATATAATATATATATATATATATATATATATTATATATATATATATATATATATATATATATATATATATATATATATATATATATATATATATATATATATATATATATATATATATATATATATATATATATATATATATATTATTATAGTATGTATGTATGTATGTTTATAGAGGGGCAACTGATATATCGGATCATTATTTAGTTGTAGCTACAGTTAGAGTAAGAGGTAGATGGGAAAAGAGGAAGGTGGAAACAACAAGTAAGAGGGAGGTGAAAGTGTATAAACTAAGGGAGGAGGAAGTTCGGGCGAGATATAAGCGACTATTGGCAGAAAGGTGGGCTAGTGCAAAGATGAGTAGTGGGGGGGTTGAAGAGGGTTGGAATAGTTTTAAAAATGCAGTATTAGAATTTGGGGCAGAAGTTTGTGGTTATAGGAGGGTGGGGGCAGGAGGAAAGAGGAGTGATTGGTGGAATGATGAAGTAAAAGGGTGTGATAAAAGAGAAAAAGGTAGCTTACGAGAGGTTTTTACAAAGCAGAAGTGTTATAAGAAGAGCAGAGTATATGGAGAGTAAAAGAAAGGTGAAGAGAGTGGTGAGAGAGTGCAAAAGGAGAGCAGATGAAAGAGTGGGAGAGGCACTGTCAAGAAATTTTAATGAAAATAAGAAAAAATTTTGGAGTGAGTTAAACAAGTTAAGAAAGCCTAGGGAAAGTATGGATTTGTCAGTTAAAAACAGAGTAGGGGAGTTAGTAGATGGGGAGATGGAGGTATTAGGTAGATGGCGAGAATATTTTGAGGAA